TAACCCACTAATGATTGTACACCTAACACTACTCTGCAGAGAAGCACAAGTTTCTGATGGTATAGCTGTATAGTTTTTTTTCCTTTTTTAATATAAATTTGTTGTTATGTCTAAATCATCTTAGCCTAAAACGTCTTTATTGTTTGCACTAATGGTGATGGTGTGGTGGTGATGGTGGCGGTTGTGTGGTGATGATGGTGATCTGTATGGTGGTCGTCATTTTTTGTTATTGTTGTGGCGGGTCAACAACGGTGGTGGTTCTTTTAGGTGTCTATGGCCTAAATATTGAACCGTGACTTTAAAATTGATAATTTGTAACTAAAAAAAGAATCTGTGACCAATAAATTTAAAAATACGTGACCTGTGATATATAATTTTTTGATCTGTGACCTATAAAATTTTAGATTTGTGACCTCGAAATAATCCTTGACTTGCAAAATTTTTTATCTATGACCGATAAAAAAAATTGTGGCCTACAAAATTTTTTATTTTTTACCTCGAAATAATCTGTGACGTACAAATTTTTTGAACTGTGACCAATAAAAAAATTGTGACCTACAAAATTTTTGATATGTAACCAGAGAACAGTCGTCGAAGTGGTCGTCGACTACCGAAGTAGTCGTCGGAGCATTGAGGTGGGGTGGGGTAATTATATTATATTACTATTTAATATTAATTTCATATAATAATTGTGAAGTATAATTAATTAATTCATGAAAAACCTGATTTTTGCACTTTTAAAACTTGGGGTCTGATTTTTGATTTCATGATAGATACTACATGATCCATAAATTTTTCCCTTAAGAACTTGCGGTCTATATCAAAGCCCAACACTTTGACAATCCCCTCATCTTCGATTTCAATCCCAAAAGTCCTAATGTGCTAAACTAGTATCTATATGCTTACAACCCGCAAACAATATCCACTCCAATGATGCGAACGAGGCTGTCCTAAAATTCTTTTAACTAGAAAAAATATTAGAAAATTATTCAAACACACTAGAAAATAACTTCTTAATTTGAGAAGTAATTTTTGACTTTTCAAAAGTCTGACCAAACAGGTATGAATATGAAAAGGATAGTGACTTAGGACATGTTTGGCAAAAATTATAATTTCCTAGAATTTGAAGTGAAATGATAATTTTAACTAACTATACTCTCACTATTGTTCATCCAGATATTTGTACTCAATTTTGTTGAATTGGGTGACTATACTTTAACTTCATTTCAATCATACTAGCATATCTAATTCTATCGCTTAAGTATAACAGTCAATAAAATATGCACGTTATTTATTTCAATGAAGATGCACTTATTCATATTAACAACTAAAAGTTACGTGTGATAATCATCATTTATTGTCAATAACATCATCGATTAGCTGTTAATAAAATTGGATAGAGACACCTTAATCAAAATCAAATTAAAGAATAGTAATCAATTGGAATCAAATTAAGTATAGTTGTAGCATTGAAGTATATAGAACTAACATTTAAAAAAAAAAAAAAAAAGAAGAAGTTTACTATGAATAAAATTTACTCATAGATTTGTAACTACCATTCACTATTATCCACATATCCCATGGGATCTATTACCCATCTTTAATAGGATTTCATTATAAATTTATTTTGTAATATCTAATTTATATTTGTGAGCATGGTTTGGAAAGAAAAACAATGCATTATGATTCGTAGTTGAAGTTTGAAGTTTGAAGTAATCTAACTATGCCACAAACACATAGTAGATGCTTGTTCCACTTCAATTTGAGAAATTATTGAAAATACTCCAAATTCAACAATACCCTTTTCAAAACACGCTTTTATCATTTTAAAAATTTAAAGTTCCTAAAATACCCTCAATATGAAACGTTTCAAACCAAGTCA